ATATTATAACTCTTTGCATTGAGATATTACTTGGTGGCAGGCACTGTCTTAACTATTTTACATGTGTCTTCACACTTATTATTACGACTGTTAGGCATCATCAAGTTGACAATGGTCCTTAGTGACCCTGTGAAAAACAGATCTGAATCTTGCCTTATCTTTGACCATCCTCCCAATCTCGAATATATTCAGGATATCATCTTTGGAAAGTAGAGGGCCAGCAAAGGAGAGGAAGACCCTCAATGAGATGGAATGATGATATCTGCAACAAGGACTTGAGCACAGCAGAGATTGTGAAGATGGCACAGGATTGGACAGGATTTCATTCTGTTGTATATTGTGTCCCTGAGGGTCAGAATAGACTTAATGATACTTAACAACAACAATAACACAATTTTTCAGATAGAAGACTATGACACAGGTGGTTAAATAACTTGCTCAGATAAATACATTAGAAAGTTGAAATGTGTATTCGAAATGTGTATGTACTTACGAATACAGATAGATGCAATATACTGTGAAATAAACAAGAGTATAAGAGATTTCAAAGAGATTAATTAATACAATAGCCATAAAATGGGTTCACAGACATTGGTGACTGTGAGGGTGACTCAGGACCACACAATTTTCTTTGCTTGTGTAAATAAATTATTATCGTGAGTCAAAATTGACTCAATAGCAGGTATCAATAGCCAACATAGAAAAAAAAAAACAAGAAAAAAGTGCCTCTGTGCTCTGATAATAACATTGCATCTTGATACAGTGGCTTCTGTCCCCCGGTTTCCCAACTGAAATCTAATCTATCCTTTCAGTCCCAATTCAAACATCCTCATTGTCCCTTGACTTCAGCTTAGCATCCTGACTTAGCATCTTAGATTTCCTATGGAGCCTAATACTTTTTTTAAGGTTCCTTCTAACCTTTTTGTTGTTAACTATGTCTAAGTGTCCTTTACAAATCAGAATTATAATCTGTATTTTCCCCAAAGATCTTGACCTTATAGGATATAAGGGATCAATTTTAAATAAGCCAATCATGTCATCAAGCTGGTTTCAACTCATAACAACCCTTTAAGACAGAGTAGAATGGCCTGGTAGGGTTTTCTCGGCTGTAATTTTTATGAAGCAGACTGTCACATCTTTCTCTCTCAAAGCAGCTGGAGAGTTTGAACCGTCAACCTTTGTCTTAAACTACAGATAACTAAGTACCCCTTATTCTCTTTCAGGCCTTGCTCTATTACTGTGAAGCATTAACAAAGGCAAGCCTCCAGCTCCAGAAGGCAGCTTGCTTGGCCCTGAAAAGTCTTGAGGTAAGACCAACCTGAGAACACCCCACACAACACAATGACACACACACACACACACACACCCCAACTTTGAGTAATACTAACACCAATTGCAGTGGAGTCAACATTCATGGCAACCTCAAACTATCTCAGAGTAGAATGGTGCTTCACAAAATTTTCCAGTGACTTATTTTTTGGAAGTATGTTGCCAGGTCTTTCTTCCAAGGCACTTCTGGGTGGATCCGAACCTTCAACCTTTTGGTTGGCACCAAAGCATGCTAACTGTTTATACCACCCAAAGGCTCCATTAAGGAGTCTACTCACTCATTGCTGTTGAAGAGGTTCCAATTTGGAGCTGATCTTCCATTGTTTCCAAAGCTGCAAATCACACAGGAGGATATTGCTCATCCTTCTCCCACTAAGCCACTGGTGGATTCAAACCTCCAGAAACATACAGCCTTTGAATCAGCAACATAACTTACCACCAGAGCTCCCAAGTAAACAGCTAGTTAATTTTAATTTTGTCAGAAGGAAATATTAGCAGTAAAACAGGTAAAATGTAAATGGGAATAGGAAGAGCTGAGAATTCTCAGCACTAAAAATTTACCTTTCAGTGTTGTTTGTAGGTGGCATCAAGTTGACACTGATTCAGTCACCCTGTATACAACAGAGACACTTCCTGATCCTGTACATTTAAGATTGAATATTTTACTACCTTAAACACACAAAAAAGAAGACTAATCAGTCTTCAGAAAATAATGTTGCAGCCACACCTTAGAGCTTGCTAAAATTTTGGATGGGCACATGGGACAAGGGGCAGGGAAATGAAGCCTGACAGAACAAGAAGAAATGGATTAACACTTCATAAGAAAAAGTTAATGGTCTGTGAAGAAAAGTAGTTCCGGAAAACTTTACCTTCCTTGTTATTTTGCTTTAAAAAAACCCAAAAACATACCTTCAGGTAGCTAAAAAGCTCACTGATATTATTTACTATTTATTTGGATGTTGGCCTAATAGTGATATGCCAATGGTTGATGTCTATGACAAGAGGTAGCAAGACTCTGTACCTGCATACATAAATGAAGACAGGAAGCCCTGTGACCAATGTACATTTTTATTGCTTTACATGGCACAAGGTTTAAAGTAGATATCCCAGTTTTAAACCCTGACATATCCCAATTCTAGAGTGTTACATTCTCCTCCTTGACTCTTTTCTCTCTCTGGGTTCTGCTCAAACATCTGCCCCTCATCTCTGCCTCTTTATAGCTTTTAACTTCCATTAGCCGCTCTCTCCACTACAATTAGAATGCATATAATAAATATATATCCTGCTTCAAACAGTTAAGACCCTTAACATGCATTATAAACCTCTCCTTTACTTGGTCCCTACGTCCTTCTCCAGATTCATCCCTGGCCACTTCTCTAGATCATATCAACTCAAAACTCACTGTCGTTGAGTTGGAACTGACTCATAGCTGACCCTGTAATCAGTGTTCAAAATTGTAAATCACCCACAAGGTTGCCAATCTTTCTCCCAAGGAGCCACTAGTGGATTTGAACACTAGAGAGTTGGGGCCTTTGGGCTAGCAGCACAGCTCTCTAAGGGCCAGGGTTCCCAGGAGTTTATGGATCTTAGACTCTATAAATAGCTGTTCTTCTTGCCTAGAATTTGTTTTCTACTCTACATCCTTAGCCACCTTTATACCTACATACTTACCTCATGCATGCCCAAACTTGGTTAACTCCTCTAAAGTATCCTTTCCATTCAGGAAGACTTCCCTGACCAGACCGAATTGTATTTCAGTCATATTCTACCATGGTACCCCAACTTAACCTATCACCACACTTGTGTCATTGTAGTAATTGCTTGTTTAATAATGTGTCTTCTCTCATAAACTCTTGAGGGCAAAGACCATGTCTTATTCATGTCTTACATATTGTTGAGTTCCAAGAGGACAAAGTAAGATTTTTAAAATAAGCAAATGGTAGAATTCTCACCATCAACCTTACTCTCCTCCTCTATTTTAGTATTTAAGCCTAATATTAGGAATGTGTAAATAGAGCTGTTTTGGGAACAGTATGATCAATCAGGAGAATTTCTTTTATTCTCGGAAAGCAGGCTAGGGTGACTTTACTTCTCTATACCTGGAATCGTCTGTGAAGTAAAGAAGTAACTAATCATCAGAGATCCAGAAAATTAAAAACTCTGGTTTTCATCTAAGAAAATTCTAATACGTCTAGACTAGAGCCTAGGAATCTATACTTTCAAAGAACTCTCTAAGTGATTTTGAAACTTAGTTGGGTCTGGAAATTTCTTTAACATGATTTTTAAAGTCCCTGTCAACTGAGAATGGAACTTTGATGGCACAGGGGTAAGGCATTCATAAGTAGTTCAAATCTATAGCTGGTGCAAGGGGGAAAGGTGAGGCTGTTTGCTTCAGTAAAGATTTACAGTCCTGGAACCCCAGTGGGTTTTACTATGTCCTACAGTGTGGCTTTGAGTCAGAATTGACTTGATGGCAATAGTTTTGGTCTGGGTACCAGATCTGAAAATCTCAAGTAACCTCAGATAAGAACATTACAACACTGTATATTATCATTTTCTCCTCACAGGCTGCTGAAAGTATCAAAATGCTGGTGACATTGTGTCAGTCTGATATTGAAGAAATCAGAAATGTGGCCTCAGAAACCCTCCTGTCTCTTGGTGAGTAGTTCTAGATGACTGTTTCCTCCTGAGAGAACTGTAGGGAAAAGTTTCATATATGATGATACAGCAAGCGTATGTTTCCTTTTCCTATAACCTATCCATTTATAAAAATTCGCTCTCACTCATTCAACTCCTCATTTGAGATTTCTGGGTTTTGCGGGTGAGAGTAGCCGTCTACAGCCATGCTTGATGAGTTCCTTAGATTTTGCATTATTTGGAATAAAGAAACAACAACAAAAAAAGGCAAACTCTAAAACAAAGGCAGTAACTAAAAGGGGTGTATGATTGCCAGAATACTAAGGAAGGTGATAGACCCCCTAACTAAATCCATAAACCCCCAGGACCACACTCTCATTCTTACTCTCAGATTAACCTCTGATTGCTCTCCTAAGCTGTGCCCTCACAGCAAAAAATTAATTTAAGTATATGTCACACCCTGGAATATTCAGATATTCAGATAACCTTTCCTTTTCATTTCCTTCACTTTATAAAGGGTTCATGCCTTAGAAGTGTCATATTTTTCGTCTTTTCTGGTGGAATTTAGAGGCAGGAGATAGCCTTATTAATTCTTTATTAACAAGTATAAATAGTTGTAAGCAACTTAACTACTACAATTTTTTTCAAAACTCTAGGTTTCCGAGTAATTTTTATATATTCTTACATATATACGTACATAAGAATTGTTTCCTTTTTTTGTAAAATGTAGATTCTAATACAATATGCCTAAGTTCAAAATAAAAATTCTTAGCAGGGTTTGAACCAGAATAATCCAATTCTAAGTTCTGCATTCTTTACACGCAGTGAAGGACACCAGTGGAATGGTACACACATTGCCCATAACAATAACTAACATGATAATGTTTTTATTAGCTTCCTGGAACCACCTCTGAAAAAAATTATTTTTAACCAAATATTTGTTTACAATACAGTTTTAAAAAATAAAAAGCCAAAACTATACTGCTAGATTATTTCAAACATGACACAGTCAATAATAAATAATATTACTTGGACAAATGCCATGCTAGTTTGACTGTAGTAGTTTGATAATGTGTGAAGGTGAGTCTTGTATTTATAATCACCATGAAAAATCACATTCATTGTTATTCATTCTTTCTGGCTCAGTAAAACTTCCTTTTACTATAGAATATATCATTCATTGCCAGAAATCTTAGCAAGCATGTTTGTTTAAGGGGTAGAATAACTATTCCTATGGCTCTTTGTTGTTGTTGTTGTTGTTGTTATGTGCCATCGAGTCGCTTTCGACTCATAGCGACCCTATGCACAAAAGCCCTAAACCCTGCTCTATCCTGCACCAACCACACTGCCTCTGACACACCCATCCCAATTACCCCAGTCACCGAATCAATCCATCTCATAGAGGGTCTTCCCCTCCTGCGCCGTCCCTCCACCCTCCCAAGCATGATGTCCCTCTCCAAGGACCCGTCCCTCCTGGCAACATGTCCAAAGTATGTCAGACGAAGCCCCAGAATAATTGCCTCCAAGGAGTAGCTTGGTTTAATCCTCTCCAAGATGAATCTGTTTGTTTTCCTGGCAGTCCATGGTACATTCAGTACTCTTCTCCAGCACCACAGCTCAAAAGCATCAACTCTCCTTCTGTCCTGCCTAGTCATTGTCCAACTCTCTGATGCATAACAAGCGATTGCAAATATCATGGCCTGTATCAGGTGCACCTTAGTCTCCAGAGAGACACCGTTGCTCTTGAGTACTTTAGAGAGGTCCCTAACAGCACACTTTCCCATCGCGATATGCTTTTTGATTTCCTGACTGCTGGTGCCAAGAGTGTTGACTGTGGAGCCGAGCAAACTGAAGCTATGAACAATCTCAATCTCTTCGTCATCCATCCTGACGCTGCCAATTGGTCCAGTGGTGAGAATCTTTGTCTTCTTGACATTGAGCCTCAGTCCATACTGAAGGCTGCAATCCTTGACCCTCCGCAGCAAGTGCATGAGGTCCTCCTCAGTTTCAGCAAGCAGGGTTGTGTCATCTGCATAACGCAGATTGTTAATAGATCTTCCACCAATCCTGATGCCACAATTCTCCTCATAGAGCCCAGCTTCTCGGATAATCTGCTCTGCATACATGTTGAAAAGGTATGGAGACAGGATGCATCCCTGGCGTACACCCTTCCCAATTTTGAACCATGCAGTGTTACCCTGCGCATTGTTGTTATTATGGGCCATTGACTTTCCTGCATCTCATAGCGACCCTGTGCACAGCAGCTCTGAAGCCTGCCCTGTCCTAAGCCAGTCTCACTGATTTCAACACACCTACCCCCATTGCCCCAGTTACTGTATCAATCCATCTTATCCTGAGTCATCTCCTGTGCTGGCTCTTGACCCTTCCAAGCATGATGTCCTTATCCAAAGACTAGTCCCTTCTGGCCATGTGGCTAAAGTATGTGAGACAGAGCCTCAACATCCTAGCCTCCAAGGAGAAACTTGGTTTCACCCTCTCCAAGACAGACCTGTTTGTTTTCTTGATGGTCCATTGTGTGTTCAAGACTCTTCTCCAGCATCACAACTCAAAAGCATAGATTCTCCTTATTCTGTCATCCTTAGTCATTGCTCTCTGATGCATAGCAAGTAATTGCAAAGCCCATGGCCTGGACCAGGTTCATCTTAGTCTCTGGACTGACATCATTGCTTTTTAGTACTCTAGAAAGGTCCCTGACAACATATTTTCCCTGTGCAATTAATTTCCTGACTGCTGGTGCCAAGAGTGTTGATTGTGGAGCCAGGCAAACTGAAATTGTTAGCAACCTCAATCTCTATCTATTATAGTACTGCCAGTTGGCCCAGTGGTGAGACTCTTTGTCTTCTTGCTGTTGAGCTTCAATCCATATTGACGACTACAGCCCTTGACCTTCTGGAGCAAGCCCTTCGGGTCCTCCTCAGTTTCAGTAAACAAGGTTGCATAACATAGGTTGTTGATGAGTCTTCCTCCAATCCTGATGCCACATTCCTCCTTATAAAGCCCTGCTTCCTGAATGATATGTTCTACTGCAAAGGTATGGAGACAGGATGCATCCTTGATTTTAACTCCTTTCCTGATTTTAACTCATGCAGTGTTTCCTTGCTCTGTTCTGAGGACTGTTTTCTGTTCTAAGTATAGGTTTTGCATAAACACAATCAAGTGTTCTGGGATTCCCATTATCCTCAAGGTTAGCCACAGTTTGTGATCCACACAGTCAAA